CGGGGTGTGCAGGAGCCAGCCGATCCATGATTCTCTCTCATCATTGATGTTTCTCTCTCTCTCTCTCTCCCTTCCTCTCTGAAATAAATGAAAATATATTTTAAAAACAGGAAAGGCTTGGGAAAATGCTAGCTTCATCACCGCCCGGACGGCTTCCTCTCCTGCGGACTGTGCAGTAGGAGATGGGCCCCCAGGGGCAGATGGCCCAGCACGATGCCCTCGGGCTGCAGGGATGGGACTCTTTTGGACAAGAAGGCTGTACGCGGTGACTATGCCATGCGGTACATTTCGGGGTTCACCACCTGGCTCACAGAGCCAGGAAGAGTGGGCACGCTCTCCGGCCTGTCCGTGACAGCCCCCGTGGCCTCATGGGCCAGGCGTTCAGGAAACGCTGGCCTCCCTGACGGGCGGGCAGGTGAGGTCTGCGAGTCCCGAGCCCGAGACTTTGGTCTGGAGAACAGAAGCCATTTCCACGCCTGCAGTAAGTGGGGGGGGGGGGCTTCCTTCTGCACCCCCTCCCGCCCCTCGCTCCCTCGCCACTCCTATGATTGTGAAATGATTATTTTTCCTTTCGCCTGGGCCATACAATTTTATCTGCCGTCTTGGCGGTTTAGCCGGGACAATAAACGGGCTTCCCGACAATATTTAGGCAGTTTCCCAAGACGGCCCAGCCCGGAGCCAGCGCGGGGCGCCTGCAGCTCAGCGAATCCCGCTGCTCCCGCCCCTCCCTCCCTCGCCACTCCTATGATTGTGAAATGATTATTTTTCCTTTCGCCTGGGCCATACAATTTTATCTGCCGTCTTGGCGGTTTAGCCGGGACAATAAACGGGCTTCCCGACAATATTTAGGCAGTTTCCCAAGACGGCCCAGCCCGGAGCCAGCGCGGGGCGCCTGCAGCTCAGCGAATCCCGCTGCGCCAAGGCCGCGAGTGTAGGTTCTGGTCAGCCACCAAGTGTTTCTGGGTAGTTTCGCTTCAGACTTGTACAAAGCAAATGGTTTAGTCCTTAGATAAATAGTCCCTAACCCCGAGCAAATGTCTCCCTTCCTGGCTGAGGAAACCATTTCCTCCCCCTCCCCCGCGTCCCCCCCGCCCCTAGCCCTCAGACGTGGGTCCCGCCAGCTCCTGGAACACAGCGTCCCTTGGGAATTGGAAAGTGAATGTGTCACAGGCGGACAGCTCACAGCCGCTTGTGAAAGGACTTCAACACCAAGTACAGCCAAACAGAGCACAGGAGGCAGGGCGGCCGATTTAAATGCAGGTTGATGCCCTGGCTGGTGTGGCTCAGTGGATAGAGCGTCAGCCGTGGACTGAAGGGTCCCGGGTTCCATCCCTGGTCAAGGACACATGCGTGGGTTGCGGGCTCGATCCCCAGTAGGGGGTGTGTAGGAGGCAGCCAATCCATGATTCTCTCTCATCATTGATGTTTCTATCTCTCCCCCGTCCCTTCCTCTCTGAAATCAGTAGAAATATATTTTAAAAAATGTAGCCGGATGACCTGATGCCCAGCGTGCAGTGGGACAGGCACGACTGGAGGCGGAAGACAATTCAGTTTCATCCCAAAGAGCGTGGGGCTCCCACGAGTGGCCGCATGTCCCAGGAGAGGAGGGACGGGCAGCGGGCTGTGGGCACGTGCCCTCCGACTGACCTTGGCGATCTGCACACACCAGTTGAGCAGGTACTGGGAGCCGATGTTGTCCTTGTGCTCGCGCACGTAGTCCAGGAGGCAGCCGAAGGGCATGAGCTGCGTGATGAGCTGGACCGTGGAGGTCAGGCAGATGCCCAGCAGGCGGCACACGTGGGGGTTGTCCACGCTGGCCATCACGTAGGCTTCCTGCGTGGACGAGAGGCGAGGAGGGCGTCAGACGTGCTCCCACGGGGGCTGAGGGGGAGGCAGGCCGACCCCTCCCAGGTCAAAGAGCGACATGATGTGGAGGGACAAGCTAGCCGGGAGGTGGACGTGTCCGCGGGGCCTTTGATGTATCGCGCTGTGAATGCCTAGGCGCAGCGCGAGGCCGGCACCCCCAGGGGGCCCGTAGGGACCTCCCTCCCTTTGCAGGGCGCCCCCAGTGGCAGAGACCTGATGTGCCCAGCCTGGCACTGCCAAGGTCTTCATGAAAGACCTCTGCCTCGAAGCTAAGGAGGCTGCAGTTAAGATGTCAGCGGTGGAGGGACCTGGGGAGCATTATGCTGAGCGAAACAAGCCACTCAGAGGAAGACGAGGGTCCGTGGTCTCGCTCATCTGTGGAGTCTCATGAACCAAGTGAACTGATGAACAAAATAGACCCAGAGACACAGACGCATGGACAGACTGTGGAAGCTCAGAGGGAAGGCAGGTGGGTGGGTGGGAAGCGATGAACCGATGAATTGTGCGCAAATACGCATCACCCGGACACAGACAGTAGCGGGGGAGGGTCTGGGGTGGTGGGAGTGGCTGGGAGAGGTCAGTGGGGAAAGGGGCCATATGTAATACTTTCAACAATAAAGATAAAAAATTAAAAAATAATAAAACGTTGTCAGGGTTCCCACACCCGGATAGGGACTCGCCCACGGATGCTGGGCCCTCGCGGGTGGCCGGCCAGGTGTGAGGCGGCAGGGCCAGCAGAGCTGCCCTGAGCTGGCAAGTGGCGGGGGGGAGGGGTTCCCCTCTCAGCAGGGCCCTGAGTCCCCGCTGTGGTCCCGGGGCCACCTCTGCAATGGGGAGCCAGAGGCCCTGCCAGAGGCCCGTCTAAGGCTGTGAGAGGCGGAGGGCGTGAAATCTACCGCGAGGCGGACTCGCGGCCGCTGGGATTCCCTGTAAGCAGGGCGGTCTGCGTTGCCCTCGCCTGAGTCTCGGACGGGAAGCTGCGCTGCTCTGC